CGTCATCGTGGTCCTGATCAAGCAATTGCTTGCCATGCGCGGTCTGAACGAAGTCTATCTTGGTGGTCTTGGTGGCTTTAGCATTATCTGCTTAGTCGTGAGCATGATGCAGCTCATGCCAGAGCTTCAGACCGGAAACATGGATCCGCAATCCCACTATGGCGACCTACTGCTCACTTTCCTTGATTTGTATGGCAACAAATTTGATGTCAGGCAAACTGGCATCAAACTCAATCCGCCAGGCTATTTCGACAAGAAACTTGAGCCCCGTCCCGGCAACTCAGAGAGACTGACAATCATCGATCCACACAATCCCAACAACGACATCTCTGGTGGCACTGCAAGAATCAACGATGTGCTTGACGTCTTCCGCAAAGCTCACTCCAGAATCCAGCAACGATTGCACAAGATTCGTGCTGGTGAGGATGTTCAGAGCAGCATACTGGGCTGTGTATTGGGCGGCAACTACAAGTCCTTCATGCGTCAACGTGATAATCTGAGTTTGCTCCACCGCGGCCGCCCTATGACTCCACCGCCGGCTTTGGATTCTCGGGAGGTCGAGGATCAAACGAAGAAGCAGGCAGGTGGAGGTCCACGAGGCAAACTCGCCGGCTCCCATCCGGGCGGCATACATCGTCAAGCGCGGCCTGCTCCGTACACTGCTATGCAACAGCAGAACAGGTATGTTACCTCGGCCAACAGATCGGCCAGCACCTCGTATAGGCCCATTCCGCGCGGACATGCGAGGTAGACTCATGTTGTCTGCAGCTGGAGGTATGCACACCCGCCGAATGTTCCCAGCACGCCCCTTCACAGTTCAATGTAGGGGTTTAAGGACAATACGGCTTCAACATTAGTCCTCACTGTCACCACCGCTGTGAGTTCGAGAGTCGTGTGGCGCGCTGATCAGGCTCGGCAACTTCAACATACGCCGAGCTTTGCGCGTGCTGTGCTGATCACCCCAGGCTCAGCAATACCATGCCAGCAAACAAGAGAGTATTACCACCAAAAGTTCCCAACACCACCAGCTTACGGGTCTATGCACAGCAAATCAAAAAGAAGTATGCGGAAACCGAAGAAGTCCCAGAAGAAATGACTTGGCGGGAGGTCCAGCAGCGTTCGGGTCGCGAGTACTCGGGGCTCGCAGGCTTCATGGAAGGGGCAACAAGCATCTTAGAGTAAGTTTTCTACCGGCGGGAGGATGTGAACCCCCATAACCCAGAGAGCACATCATCGAGTTGCCGAAAGGGTTGCAAAATGATTAATGTATTTCGGGCTGCCCATGACTGCCTCAGCGCGCAGGCATGAGCAGAGGCTCAGTGTCAAGTGAGCAATGAACGACAGCATGTGAACACGGATCGAAGGAGGATAGGGCTACCTTCGGGCATACTTATACGGTAACGTGCTGCATTGCTTATGATTGTTTGATTGCATCCGACGAAGATACCCTGTACTACTAGCTTGCTTTCTCTAGGTCGGTCGTACCCTGAACCTGCGGACCTACATGCAGACAGTTGGCAGGCGGACTGCCAATGATTGCTAGCCAGCCTTGGCCCACCTTCCTCTTTCTTCTGGTTCCATCGATCAGTGGTAGCGGTCAGTGCCTGCTGGAAGTGCCACGAGCAACATTGTAGCAGACTCCCAGCAGGTGCCGACCGCTACCCTCTGACCTCGTGTCAGCGGCTTCGAGCCGTTACAATACTAACGAAACCATGAAGCTGCGATGTGCAAGCACCTCTTCGGAGCTTGTGTTGCGCAGTCTTCGGGCGACTTTGCCCTTGACTAGTCTTGCTCAGATCCCCTCGACGCTGCTTCGGCGGTGACGAGGGCTTTTTCTCATCGGGATACCTGCCAGCTGGCGGGTAGCCGGAGAGGAAGAGGATTGGTCGTCATGCGAGGACTATGAGTCGGCTCTCTTTGCAAGGCCTAGCTATGTACGTCAAGGGGGACAGACGTCCTGACAGAGCGGATGGCTTGCCAATGTCGTCGGCTGTCACCTGAACACCAGGATTATCGTGCAGCGTCAAGCGAGATACACTCAACATGAATGGTGGTCATCACCTTCTTGAGGGGACTAGGTATTGTCATTGCAATTCTATAAGGTACTGAAGATATCCGTTCCTGCATCCAGATGGCGGTTGAACGCGATCCTTTGGCGTGCATCCCTTCTGTTACAAGCGTGAAGTCGGCGATGCTTGTTGTGCCACCCGTGGACCTCATTTTCGAAACGGCTCGGCTGGACGCGGCCCGATCACTAGAGCAACAGCTTGGTCAACAAGTCTGAAACTGAACCACAATCCTACATGTAACTACAAAACGACACGGCAGAAAGCATTCCATTAGATAACAAGCAAAAATGGATTCGCCCGCCGCAGTACCGTTGCCGCAAGTGGATGCCAGTATGCTCGACCTCCACAGACCGCCCAGCTCGCCATTTGTCACCGAAGTCGAAGGCCCAAGCAGAAACCCAAGCAAGCAGTGGATGCCTGAGACGGACAGCAAAATCGAAGAAGAGATTGACCTGCTGGGATCGCCACTCAAGGCTCCGGCTAGAATGGATGTTGAGGACAAGGAGAACATACCGCAAGAGCCAACGGCGACTCCCGGTAAAGTCTTTCCTTCACCAGAGGCCAGCGTAGAGGACAAGGAGAACATTGTACACGACGAGCCCACCGCCACGCTGAAGAAGGTCTTCGCCTCTCCACAAAAGCACTCAACGCCTGAGCGCATCCCACTCAAGCCCAGCATACCAGAGCCCATGCAAGAAGGCCGGCGGGGAAGCACAGATTCTGATCTGATGCCTCCGCCCTTAACGACACGCAAATCACATACTACGCCGAAACGGACGCCATTGAAGTCCTCCAAGAGTTCTGCAAATACTCCTAGAACACTGCCTCGTCACAACTCGCACGACCGACCTGCAGCGACCGGACAAACGCCAAGCGCATTCCAAGCTGGTCTCGATTTGCGCAACTCTGCTGTGCCTCCACAGAGCGCGGCGAGCATCGACGATACCTGCTATAGCACCTTCTCGGAAGTTCCAGAGATGACCTTGTTCGCTAAGCTTGGTCAGAGTCCTACGAAACGCGGCGATCTGTCTGCCACACCCGGTGGTGCCGTTCCCAATTACACTACTCCGCGCACGACACGCAAGCGCTCTTCGCCCTCTCGATCGCCATCGCCAACACCCCGCAGGCAAAAGGCGCACACGGTGCAGAGCCAAGACGGCACCACCTCCTTCTTGATCGACTTCACGCAGCAGATGGAGTCGGTTGGTGGCTACCGGCAAGCTTCGCCTCCGAAGTCAACAACAGAGCCCAATTTGCTTCAGCACCTCAACAGCCGGCGCTCACCGCATAAAGGCTCACGTCAGAGTTATACAACGCCGAGCAAGCCGAACAATATTTTGAACCTTCTCGACTTTGAGTTGCCTCCAGCACCAACTCCACGATCCGTTCCCACCATCACAGTCCGCGAACTCGAGTCACTGAAGTCGTCCTACCTGTCTCAGATCTCGTCCTTGAAGGCCACTCTCAGCGGTCGAGAGGCAGAGGTGGAGAGCCTTAAGCGCGCGGTAGGCGATGCAGAGAGGCGGGTGGGTGAGGCGCAAGAAGCCTTGCGAGAGGAGAAGTGCAGGCGTGAGCATGTGGAGCAGGAAAAGGCAGGGTGGGAGAGACGTGGCCAGGAAGTCGAAAACGTGCTGAAGAATGTCAAGGAGGAGGTTTTGAAGAGCGAGGCAGAGAAGGAGGACCTACTGCGGAAGATGGAGGACACTGAGCGTCGTGTCGAGGAAGCGGAGGCACGAGCTGCCAAGGCTGAAGAGCGCTTCGCTGACGCGCTTGCTGCTCGGGCTGAAGGTGGTAGCTCTGATGCCAACGCGGTCGAAGAGCAGGTGCAGCTTCTCTTCAACGCGCAGATCGACTCCAAGATCGAGCAAGTCAGCCGCGAGCTGCATGCCGTTTACAAGGAGAAGCATGAGCGAAAGGTGGCCACTCTGAAGAAGAGCTACGAGGCTCGCAGCGAGAAGAAATGCGCAGATCTCCAGGCGCGTCTTGCGGATCTCGAGAAGCAGCATGATGACCTGCTGGCTGCAAAGGATGCAACATTCTCAGGCCCAGTCCCAGATGCCAGCGTTGAAGCCGAGCTCAAAGCCCACATCGAAGAGCAAAGAGCCGCTTTTCACCGACTGGAGCAGGAGATGTACACGTCGCGTCAGCAACAAGATCAGCTCATGCGCGAGCTACAGCAAGAGCGTATCGAGAAGGGCGACCTGGTCGCTGCCGTCGATGAAATGCTTCTCCTACAGTCTGAGGCCGGCCCGACGCAGGGTGCTATGAGTGTCGTCGAGGACTTCAGGAAGAGCATTGGTCGGCCGACTGGGCTCAAGCCGCCTGGTGCTTCTGGGACCGCGAGCAGGATTGGTGGACTGGCGGGTCATGGGAGGAGCGGGAGCAGTGGGAAGTCGAGGATGTTGGCGAATATTGAGAGGATGGGGAGGCAGGGTGGAGGGGCGGGAGCGTTTGAGTAGGTTTTTGAGTAGGTTTGGAACTCGATGTCGGATGGAGTAGGGAGGGGGTTTGGCAAGTATACGATGGATGGTTAGGGGTGTAAAAGAGTATTTCGAAGAGTTGCTGTCCAATGAATGAGATGCGTGATGATGGGATGACTTCTCTCAAATCCCAAGAGAGCTGCGCGGTATTGACGCTCGCTGCTAGAATCGATCATTGAGGTTGATTGATAGGAATTGCCACGCCCAATGATGCGTCGAGTCCTGAGCAGAATTGTATCAATGCTTCAGTCGTTCCAGAGTTCACCAGCCGTCGAGTAATGTAGTGTCCCATACTTCACGCCCTCAACCGACACATCTTCCAGATGAGTGCCAAGATTATGTATGCTAAGTGCCAGGCTCCGCACAATCAAAAAAATACACATCAGCGGAACATAGATTCTCAGATCAAGCAAAAACGCAAAACAACGGATTTCTCAAGCCAGTTGGGGTTTGCCTCCATACGGAGTCGAACCGTAGACCTCGGCATAGCTGTGTACGGGGTGTACTAGTGCCGCGCTCTACCAACTGAGCTATAGAGGCTGAGCTTTCGCTGCAGCCGAATGTGGCCTGAGATGTTTGTCTGGCTTTCCATCCTTGTAATAAAGTAGAATGTAATGCTGCGGACCACATTCCTGCCTTCACGTATTGTCAACAAAGCCCTACGTTCGACATGCTATTGCTCGTCTCGCCATAATCGCAAGCAGCCTTTACCCGTCTTCTTCTTGTGCTGCGCAAGCTAATCACCGACTCTGGGCACCGCCCTCCTCAGCATCGGTCAGATCAGTACGACGACCTTCTCTCTCAAATCAAGCCGCACCGGAGGCATGATTGTCCTTTCACGAAGTATCATGGCACGCAATAGCTAGCCCCTGACCACGTTGCCAATTGACTGATGACCGTTTGATCAGACAAGATGTCAGGGCTGTCGGTCAGTAAGGTATTCATGCAACTCTTGCTCAGATATCGACTGTTTCCACTGTCAAGCAATCCGCAGACACTGCCCCGTCTCTGGCGTCAAGTAGTCGTGGAGTATGTCTCAAGCCGTACATTCACCAGTCCATTGATCGAGCGATGATCTCGTTGGTTGTGGACAGGGGCAGTGGCTGGACGACTGATGATTGCTTTGATGCGTATGTTGACGAATCAATTCACCGGTCTATCGTCACCAGGTTGGTGGTCAATGCAAGTTCGATACTACTCCATAGTACCATAGTACTTGTCTGGTCTGTCTTGCAGTCATCTATATTGCAACCAAAGCAAACTATGTCGTGAACCATAAAACACTGCCCCTTCACTGTTAAAGGCCATAGTAATATCCGAGCATTACATTCTGCCCGTCGACAGTCTAACCCAAACACTAACCCTAAGCACTCTTCTCACACGGCCAATTGTCATGCACCCAGCCACTGATCAATTCCGTCACACTCTTACCGTCGAACTGATAAGACGTATCTTGACCTTTCTCGTACTTCTCTCCCAAATACTGCAGAGCCAGGATGACCCAATCCTCAATAAACTCATTATACGCCAGATCAACCCTCTCCGGCTTCTCGCTCCCATCAGTGGGGTCAAAGTTGACATTCGCACCGACGCAATTCGGGACATTGTAGAACTGAATCGGAGAATGGATCGTGTCGTCACCATATTTGCCGAGATCGTCGCTAGTGGTGTAGCCGGGTGTGGTAGGCTTCTCTCTGTCTTCTTCGGCGACCCTTAGGATTTGCTGCTGTTGGACTGCCATGGCGGGATGCTGAGATGGATCATCCTGAAGTTCATGGAGAGAGACGGGCGGTAGGGCTGGCATAAGCTTGTCGAGTGCGTGGGCGCCCATGCCACTAGCAATGGCCATGTCGTGTAAAGTGATGGGACCCTCATTATTTAGGATCTGCAATACCTGGCTTGCAGGACCATACGGCACATTCTTGATGACCTTCATCCCGCTTGTGAAGGGTGACACAAGGAAGGTGCTGTCGATCGTGAATGGACCCTTGAAGATGTCGAAGCGTAACGCGCCGCTGTTGAACAGAGCAATCGTTTGCGTCTTGGATTTCTGATACGCATCCGGCAGAACGTGGTCGTTGAACCAGCTGAGTAGGCTGTCATTTGACGGATATGGCACCCGGCTCAACCAGTACGTTTGGGGTGCACAGCCATACGCATAGTCTAGATCCAGCTTCTTTCGGTCTTTGCTGATCAGCTTCGAGACATTTAGCCCCAGATCAGTATCGAAAGTGGTGTCATTGGTGCCAGAGTGATGCTGTAGCGAGTAACGGTTGTTGTCGATGTAAAGTCTGCTGTACGTTGGGCTGGCCTCGACGGTAACATCGTCCTTCTTGCCACCTGCCTTGACTCCATCAATCGACATAAACCCTATCGTCTCCATGTACCGTCCGCTCTCAATGCCTTGCGCCTTCTTCTCCCACACGCGATAATCCCTGATGTGCGTGTGCCCACCGAAGAACACAATCGGCGTATCCCATTTGGCTTTTCTGATAGCCTTGTATATCAGATCAAACTCTGGACTATATCTCAATGGAACATGTCCCGCAACCAAGAACAGGTCTACATCCTTCTCGCGGATTGCGTCCTGAAACCACTGCTCTTTGATCGTCTCCTGCACCGGCTGAACTACAGTGTTGTTGGCATTGCCGTTGAAGTTGAACAAGAAACCAAAAGCCAGGACTTTGACGCCCGTATTCTTTGCGGTGAGCTTCCTAAAGCGAGGTGCCAATGGCTGCTGCTTACCCTCAACATAGATGTCCACGTTCGATGAGATGTAAGAGTCCTTGAAGTCTGGCACCACCTCGTCATACTCGTTCTGGCTAGTATTCCTCACGTATAACTCATGGTTGCCCGGAGTAATCACATCGATGTGCTGTTGCTGGAAGAAGTCGAACGTGTATTTGCCCTTGGGATTGGAAGCGTCGTACAACCCGTTGCCCTCAACTCTGTCACCAGTGTCAATCACCAGCAGATCAGATCCATCGTCGTCGGCTCGCTGTCGCAGATGGTGGGCGAACGAGACGTAATCGCCCCAGTCTGCGCTGAAGCTGGGTTCTTGGAGGTGGCCAGCGTGCCAGCCGTGGGTGTCAGTGGTGTGCTACACTGTTCTTAGCGGTATGTCAAGACTGCTACATGCACTTCGTACCAGAAAGTTGAGGCCGCCCTTGACCCATGGGAGCTGTCGAAGCGGGGCACTGATGGGTGATGGCGCTGAAGGCTGCTCTGCTGAAGAGATATGGAGGAAAGCCAGCAGCAGTGGCACCCGCGCAAACATTGTAGAAGCGATGCGAGTATCTGCGCCGGGGGGTACAGACGATCTCATCTATACCTTATCACCATAACAATAAGGCGGCTGGGCTGTTCCTGCAGATGGTTCGGGACGAAGGTTACGGAACGAGCCGCTAAAGCTCCGTCACATGCAAAGAACCTGGACCGGGAAACACTGAACGTGTGGTCGGCAGGATTGGCATGAGGGAAAGCTTGTCACCGCGCCACATCGCTGCAATGTCGTCTCCACCCCGTCGGAGCGATTCGCGTGGCCGCTCGCCAACTCCAGTCCACGACGACGTCGACGTCGACATGCGTTCACCGTCACGAAGCTACCAAGATCGAAACGGCGCACGCGACAGCAGAAGCAGGAGCAGGACGCGCTCACGCAGCCTGTCTCGCGACCGGGCACGCAGTCGAAGCAGAGATGCGCGCGCACGCAGCTACTCCAGAAGCGCATCGCGATCGCAAAGTCCCTCACTCCCTCGAAGCGCAAAAATCGTCATTGAGAAGCTCACCAAAAACGTCAACGAAGGCCATCTGCGCGAGATCTTCAGCTCGTATGGCGAGATACAAGACTTGGAGATGCCGACCAACAAGCAATTCATGATGAACAAAGGCATTGCTTACATCTTGTACACCGAAGCACGATATGCAGAAAGCGCCATCGCACACATGCACGAAGCACAGCTGGACGGCGCACTCATCAATGTCAGCATTGTGCTGCCGAGAAGAAGATTTAGCCAAAGTCCGCCCCCCAAGAGACCGCCACCAAATCGTTTCGGCGAGCCGAATAGGTTCAGGGAAGGTCCACCGCCAGGCAGAGGCCCGCCAGCAGAAAGAGCGTTCGGCAGGGGGCCACCACCACGATTCTCGCCAGTATACAGATCTGGAAGATCATTGCCGAGATTTGGAGGAAGAGGAGGCGCAGGAGGATACAGAGATCGTGGTTTTGAGGATAGTCATAGCTACAGGCAGAGGAGCTACTCGCCCGGCAGGAGCCCGCCGCATAGGAGACGGAGGAGTCCGAGCTACGCCAGCAGAGATCGCAGCGTGAGTCGTGATCCGCCAAGACGAAGGGGAGGAGGTGGCGGCGGTGCTGGGAGGAGAAGTCCAAGCTACTCGAGCTATGGCAGTCGAAGTCGGAGCCCAAGCAGAGATCGGGGTGGAAGAAGACGGTGATCGAGAGCACAACCTATGTGAGAAGGATAGCAGGCGGGAGATTGCGCAGCGTGCCGTATGCCGCGCCATCGGCACCGACGTTGGATCAATAGGATCCTACATGCGTAGCGAAGGTGTACGCAGGCCGGTCATGTGTCTGGCGCGCGGAAAGAAGACCCAGCTAGATGCAATCCTGCAACTTCTACTGTAAAATAGCTGTACATTACGCGACTGCGCTGTGCAGACGCCAGCCCTACAAAGGGTAAAGAGCTGCAAGCCATGACATTAACGCAAGCCATCACCTCGCATCACAATGATACATGTACTGGTACTGCTGTCAGACCAGCCAAGTCAAGCCTCCTCCACCCACTCTACCCTCTCATCAAGGATAAGTTCAAGAAGACGCTCCGGCTTATTTGTGATCTCTGTTTCGCTCTGCGCCTGTTCGTGACGGGGTACCGTGAGCTTATGGTTGGTAAAGCGGACAGTTACAGCTGCTCTGCTGGCTGGGCTGTGGTCGAGGCGCGTGGAAAGATTTTGCAGGATGATCAGGGGAACATGTGATGCTTGGATATGAGTTGAGTGCTGAAAGGGAAGTCCTCTCGCTGGGCGGATGGCGAGGTACCTCCGAGGTATTTCGTGCCTGTGGATAATGGGCATCTTAGATGGCCTGGCGTGCGACTGATACAGAAGCGACACCATGCCTTCTGAAGCCGCTCGCAATCTCAGATGCCCCAGTCTGAGCAGCGAATGCCTTTGGTACATGTGCGTATGCTCGCTCGAAAATGCAACAACTCGGCTGCGCCAAAACCTCGGCAGCTATTGGCTTGGCAAGGTTCGTCCATCATTGTGCCTTTCATTACTGCGTGAACGATCATCGAACCTCCTAGGACTGAGCATGTCGCATTGATGCATGTAGCTAACAACGAGCTGGAAGAATGTCATGCCCAAGGCTGGCTAGAAGCTGGCGGGTCGATAGCGGACGAGCATCCAGGGGAACCTGAGGTAGATTCCTGGTGCGTCATCGCTTTGATAGCATCATGTAGACTGCTCAAGAGGAGCAATGATTGAAGCGATAGCTTAGGTGAGTAGGTAGGCTTTGATTTTTC